AATAGTAACTCAAGTTTTTTCTAGAAATCCGGTTTTCTGAAAAATTTCGTCAAGCAAGTTCTCCTAGAATTTTAAGACCGAAAGTTTAATATCTGTGGGTACTAGTAGCACTCCTTGAGTTGTGTTTAGAAAAGAAATTTTCAACAAAATCTAACGTGTACTTTTCGAGAAAACTTAGATACAAGTTGGAGTTTTCTAGAACTTCGGTTTTCATCCAAGTCAAATATTTCAAGAAGTAAAAGAGCTAAAAACCTCGGACTTAGTCCATTAAAACAAGCAATCTATTAGTTTCATTTTGACTATAAGATTGTTTGGTTTTTCTCTTTTTTATGACTATGCATTCATTTAAAAAAAAAAGGTAGATTTCCATAGGAATCAAGAAAATTCACCTAAATTTGAGATTGTACACAACCCATGGCTGTAGAGATATGACCTTGAGAATTACGTCTTATAGACAACTTTTAACACTCTATGGAATGGTCTACTCAAATGTTTCGAAAACTGTTCAGAAAAAATAAAACAGAGATATCCAAGCGGGGATATTTTGATAAAATAGGGGTTTGAGCCCTCTTTACAACCGTTACCGCATAAAATCCAACTAAAATTGAATATGAATTCTTACACAACTCGACACGGGCTACAAAACTAAGATAACTAGATCTTGCCGGCTTTTGGTCGATGTAAATCTGGGCGGAACTGCGTCAAAGCACCCAGCAACAAAAACAAAACAATATTCTAGAGTATTATTTTTCACGCAAGCTTTTTGTATTTCTACCTCACTCTTATCTCCTTAGAAATGTGTATTCGTGGCAGTGATTGGATACTCAGTAAAATACTGAGTATTTTTGATACTTTTACTGAGTATTTCGGATTACTTCAGTACATTCTAACAGTATCAGTAAATTTACTTGTATTGAAAGATTTTACTGAAGTACCAAAATTTGTACTCATTTACTGAAGTACCAGTATTTTAAGTACAAAATGTACTTTAATCGAATATCAACATATTCTTATATATTACTACTTTGCATTCTCAGAAATATCCACATAATATTCATAATATTTAAACCTACACACTATAAATTCATGTCTTTTAAATTTTCCTTGGTTATCAATGTTGATCATTTATACCGAGGCTGTTTTATGATAATGGCGATAGAAA